CTCTGCCTTTACCCAGCAAACCATTTTTGTGGTTACAGTCCAGTGTGCAAAGAGCAGCTCATCTCTCCCTGCCCGGACAGGTAAATGGCTTGTCATGAAGCACCACTATTTTCTGATTAAAACAGACCCATTACTTCCACTAAAACCAGAGGCGATAACCTAACGGGTGTTTCAAATAAAACATTCAGTGATTTCACTTTTCAGCTAAGTCTCTCGGCCTTGTTCCCTTTCCCTTCCCGTTTGGGGAGGGAGAGGGGCTAGAGAGCATCTGCTAGCATTCAGTAGCTGGCCCAGGCCTGGCCCTTGACGCAGAGTCCGCAGTTTTCTGAGTATAACTAAGACTAAGCAAAAGATACACAACTCTGAGAATCAGCAAATAAATATTTTATAGCTTCTCTGTGCTGCCTTGACAGACTGTAATGCTTCTTATTCTTAGTTTCTGGCCCAATCCTCAGTTGGAGGCAGGTATCATGGGTACTGCTGGCATTCACCAGAAGGGAAAGGAAAGGAAAAAGCTGACAGGCATGAAGACAGAGCGTGAACAGAGAAGAATCCTGGGACCATTCAAAATACCTACAGCACTGAAACCGGGTACATTCTAAGGGGAATTAATCTGAGCAGCTCCAGCTCTGCAGAGGCGAGACAGAGGCTTCTCGAGGCTGCCTGACGGTAATCAGCCCCCTGCCTCTGCAGGGTGACTCGTGCTGTCCTGCCACCCACACCCAGCATCCATCCTCTTAGGGGATGGCAGAAAGCACAACATCTCACCTTCACAGAGGTGACATGAGTCCTAACCACCGTGCCAAGTCATAAGAGAGCCCACAAAACACCTGAGAACTGTTTGACCTTACGTATTGTGAAGCCGTCTGCATAACAGGTTGAGGACTTGTCATGCGAATCTCAACTGACTTGGAAAAAGGAAAGCAGGGTGCTAGCACAGGGCTGCTTCGGTGTGAAGGGGTGACCTAATTAATGTTTATAAATATGTAAGGGGTGAGTGTCATGAGGATGGAGCAAGGCTCTTCTCGGTGACAACCAATGGTAGGACGAGGGGTAATGGGTTTAAACTGGAACACAAGAGGTTCCACCTAAATTTGAGAAGAAACTTCTTCTCAGTGAGGGTAACAGAACACTGGAACAGGCTGCCCAGGGAGGTGGTGGAGTCTCCTCTGGAGACATTAAAAACCCGCCTGGATGCCTTGCTGTGTAACATCGTCTGGGTGTTCCTGCTCTGGCGGGGGGCTTGGACTAGATGACCTTTCGAGGTCCCTTCCAGTCCCTAACATTCTGTGATTCTGTGAAGGGCAGTCAGGGAAGCCCGAGTCACCTCCTCTTGCACCCACTGCAGATGCGGTGCGGAGGCTGGTCACCGTGGTAACATCCACTCACAAGGATCCTGCTCTCACGCTCACTCTGCATGGCAACAAGGATTGGAGACAGCAATTTTTTTTTTCTTATTAGCTCCTTAAAAAAGCCTGGTATGACTGAATTGCAGCAGTGGTACCCTAGAAATTAAAAGAACTGCTTAATTTCCACAACATGGAGGTGTTCTTACTCATTCCTAGACTACTGCAATCACTAAACTAAAAGGATGATCAAACTTTAAACAAAATGAAAACCCAACCTCCTTCAAATTCCCAAGCCCTCCCACACCTGACACCCTAAACCTATCTCCAACTCAGCTGTACCAAAAATCAGTTCTGAGAACTACATCAGTTAATACTTCTAACCAGGGTCAACTTGAATTCTGAAATGACATTCGGACTTCTTGGTGCCCTCAGGACGTAACAACTGTTCTGACGTTCCCGCAGCGTGTGAAGAATGGGAAAAAGTGAACTAGGGCAGAACTGTGAAATCCTTCCTGCTAAACCTCCCAACAGCATCCTGGTTATAGGTTATACACGTATCCAGGTCACGCCGGGAGACGGCTACTCACATGCTGGCACCACTGCTCCCGGAGCCCGGCCCATGCCATCAGGGAGCAAACCTGCAACAGCCAAGCTAACACAGCCCTTGAGTGCCCCCGCCTTCCCCACGCAGCCTCCAGCAATTAACAGTCGGGTTCCTCCTCCACCCCCATTTCCCAGTGAAACACAGAGTATTCCTGATGCTCAGCTGGCCGCCTTGGTGAGGCGATAGAGAAGGATCACTTTGGTTTGGCCAGCAGGACACTTAGAGGAGCAACAGCTTGAAGGCATATAAACTTGTTTAAAAAAGAAAAATTTAAAAAGTCTCCAAAGGTGCGTAGTTTGAGAAACCTCTCAGGCCCAGGGTGCAGATATGTTTAACTTGAGCTGCAGCTCATAGAATCACAGAAATATGATTTGGATTTCCCATTCTTTTTTGTTAGGGAGATTTTATATTAGCTATGTTTTAATCAAGTTTTGATCTTTTTAAACTGTGAGGAGTAGAAGAATATAGCAACTAGATAGGCACAGATTCATCATTTTGGGGACAACAGTTTATTACACAGTACAAAACAGAATAAGCTCTTAGGCATGACAGGAAACTGTGATGAAGTATTAGCTAAATGTTACAGTACTAGACCACTTCTCAAGCTCTAATTTTTGATGTGCAAGTCAATTGCACAGGCCAGTTAATGCAGAGGTACATCTAGTTCATCAATAAATATTTCACTATTTAATATCCTCCAGGAGAAAGCAGAAAATCAGAAACTCAAGCTCATTTGCAGATTACTTGAAGCATGGCTGTCATTCTGGAAATAACTACATTAATACCCACCTTTCACCACAGGTGACTTGGAAGATCAACAGACCCAGTTAACGATGCACTAACATTCCCACCTGAGCCTTGGGATCACGCCCAGCATCTCCCTTTGTCCAGCCCATATGTAAGACTACAGACTCTACTAGAAGGCAGAACACTCAAGGGAAGATTTAAACTGCTTTGTCCACTACATGGAGGAGATGCAGGTTTATTTGGGTGGGTTTTTTTGCTACCTACTTAATGAAAAGCACTACAATAATTTTTCTAAAATAAAAAATTATTTCATGATGGAGACCTTAATTAAAACAATGCTGCTTACCAATATAACCAAGGCAAGAGAGACTACTACACATCTGAAAACTCTCTTGAACTTCAATTATCTAACACTTTGGTATTTTCATGCTTTCAAAGCATCAAGACTTTTAAAATCCCCATAAAACATCAGCGTCCTCACGCTTGCCCACAGATACACATAGGCAAGCCACAGATTCTTCAGTACTTTGAAATGAAACCACACATTATAAAAATTGCAGAACAGTTTGGTGAGCAAAACTGCCCTTTCCTGGACACAGATCAGCAAATTCTGCATCAGGAAAAAGGCCTGGCAGCCAGCCCACGCCAGGCCTGTCCACTCCCTTTGCTCCCCAAAGCAACAAAGCACCAGACGCAAGTAGCTCCTGGGCTGGGTACACAGCGTCACATCGGGACGTGAGGCAGGTGTCCCTCACCTTCACCAGACTGCACTTGAAGTTTGCATGTGCTGGAAGCCTTATCTTGGATCTTCATGGTTTTGGGGTAGATTTTTAGCATTTTTATTTGAATGAATGTAAATTCATTTGGCCCAGAAAACATCTGAGATGGAGTTTTCAGTTTGTTTATAAAATCAGCACAGAAAAGCAATGGCTGGTGTCCAGGAACACCATCCCTACGCTTCAGCCTGGAAACCCCGAAAGCTTTAATCATTTTGCCTGCTCATTTTTAGCCTTCAGCATGTCTTCCTGCATGACTAACTATACAATACTTGGCTTGCTATGAAAGGCACTTTTCCCTCACCTATTTAGTATTCTTCTCGAACATGAAAAGATCACCTTTCCAGAAATCAGATCAGCAAATATCTTCAGCATGTTACCTAAGAGAAAGATTATCATGGTAAGAACAATCCACCACAGCATGAAACTGTGACTTTGCTCCCTCTAATGATTTGTAGTTAAGCAGGAAAATTCATCTCCACATTCTTTACAGCTGTTTTTAAAAATCCACCAGCCCCAAAATGCTAAATATACCTTTCTCTCCCATCTTTCAGCTTCAGTGGTTCAATACTCGGGATTTCTTTTTACATACTGTGTTAAAATCAGGTTTTATGTTTATGTATGTTGCAACAGCCTCCTACCGACTGTCCAAGATGACACCTGACATAAATGAACCGAGCAAAGAGGGAGCTTTTACAGAAGTGAAGGTACCGTGTTTCAGTATTCCAGTGCTAAGAATATGTCTCCTTCAAGCCTCAGCTTCTTTCCATCCTCATGTATACACTGGGGTCAGTCCCTTGGCTGTAGCTATTAATCAGCTTTGCATTCTCCTCTCTGCTGGTCAGATGTCGTGTCTGGCAGCAGCTGACAGCTGGATGGAGAGCTGTGCAAGGAAAACAAAACCTGAACTGAGCTAGTAAACTAACATTATCACTTTTTTTAGAGAACTAATTCTGTCAACTTCTTTTTTTCCTCCTCTAACAGCTATACATGTTTATCTTGTTTTTGAATAGGATGAGCAATTCCTCTCTAAAAACCTCTAAAAAAAGAGGTATGAAAACTCCATTTACAGGACATCTTATAACTCCAGCATGTACTGGAGAAGCAGCTGGGAAGATCCAAGGCTTTACTACCTCAAGAGAAACTCTGATATCACAGGCAGGCCCGTATGCATCCAATCCCTAGCAGAGACAGGCAGCTCCCTCCCGGAAACGCCCGCCCACCTGGCTCAGGAGCTGCCTCCCCGCCAGAGAACCGAATAGAACTTGGAGGAGTTCAGATCTTTCCCTGTGTCAAATGGCAGGAGAAAACCAGCCCAAAATCATGCCTTTTTCATTCTGAAATCTATCGGTCCAACTTTGTCTCTGGATTTGAACAATTTTGATCATAACTTCATTGCCAGTGCCGCCTGCAGACTCTCCAAGCCCTTTGTCCCGACACCCCCAAATTCCAGGAGCCGGCTAAGCAGCGTGGCAGGTTCCCCGCTCGAAGGGGAGGCTCTGGGCTGCTCCGAACACGTCACAGCTACTGCTCTTTAGAGAACTGGAGGCTGTCAGAGAGAAGGAATTCCAGGTCAACGGTATCATCAGTGGTCTCTACTGGTACGTTACTCTTTTCCACAGGGAGCAAGTAATGCTGTACTTTGTGTCTTGAAGCTAATCTCCTTGATGTGCCATTGCAGGAGCACGCCTCGGGCTGTCTGACAGTGCCTGGGCCAACGCGGTTTGCACTGGAAACGCCGGGACAGGAGTTTGGTTGGCAACGACCAGGCACATAGTACGTAGTTGCCACTGGACTTGATTCTGTCTGGTTATGAAAAGGATTACCAGCCATGCAGCAGGTCTGGAGACAGTTACTGGTTTTGAATTCATGATGAAGGCCTAACTTAGCAATAAGGGGCTTCCCAACATTAACTTCCTTCCTTTCATCCATTGCATCGTCTATTCCTGGATACTCATAGTGCAAGCAAACAGTGAAGACCAAGTGTTCCTGCAGAAGAGGAAAGGGAAGAGAGAAGGAAAAAATAGTTACTCTTCCTCCTCAAATAAACAATGCAGGAAACTCTTGAATTAAGAGTATGCAGCTCTGCTTCGTGTCACATCCTTCTTGCACCACAGGGCACAGGAACGTCCCCGCAGTGTGCAACGGGTGAGCTTCATGAAAACAATCACCTTGTCAAAGTTTAGTATCAGCCAAGAAAATGCAAAGTGCCTTGCACGACACTAACCGGATTGCATATGCATTTATTCCCTGGCTTTTATTTTTCAGCCAAGAAACTGAAGTCCCCATAATGGTGCTACTAGTCATTTTTTCCCTCCAAAGAACACGTTACTTATCATGCAGACAACACACAGCTACCTCAACAGAACTGCAGAGCAACATGATTAATCCGAACTATCTGAACAAACTTGTGAGTAGTAATATATATACTAACCTTTAGTTTTTGCAGTGAACTCAGCCTGGTGTAGAGGCAGTGTTTGGGAAGGTCCTTTGATACCAAATAGCTTCCTGTTTCCTCAGGAGTTCCTTTATTGGCCTCTTTGGGATCCACATCCAGGTCCTGTTGCAAGAAGGAAAGGAGAACTCAATCGAAGGCACAGAATTTGTAGATCACAAAATAGTTTGCAGTATTTCCTTTCATCAAGTCAGTATTTTCTCTTTCTTGCAAGGAAAGAGAACATCAGTCTTGCAGTACTTGCAAAAGCTACTGAACCCACTGTTAGCCCCAGGCAGAGGGGTTACCTCTGGGCGGGTCACCCTTGCTCGCTGATGGCTCCTGCTAAGCTTGGTGCACTCGCCTCAGGGTTGAGTTTTTTGACTGAACTTCTACAGTGAAGTACAGCACTATAACACTAATTCTGTGGGCTACAAACTCATGTCTTTATCACACACATTAACTCAAGTATTTTATTTATAAAGCATCACAAGTGTCCTGTTTATCTAAAAAGGTTTTCTGCCCCACATCCTCTTTCAGAGACATCAAAAAAGAAGAGGCTTTTAACCCAAAGAGCTTTCTCTTTCACTCTTACCCATCACTTCATTGTGGTCAGTTGACTAACACCAGTGGAACTGGACAGGATCACCCAGGTGCAAAGAAGTGTAAAACTAAAGCCTAAGAAACCTTGTCCTGCACGGCAGATGTGTCCTCAGCTCACACAGGAGCTACTGGCATTTAACTTGTTAAATATACAAATACCTGATATTAACCAATGAACAACAAAGGAGATTTTGAAAAAGATGACCCCAGGTTAATTTCATGTGTATTTTTATATATATTAAAAATATGCATTTTAAAAAAAACCCGTAAATTCATGCATACAGACACACGCACATTAAGCACCTATTTCAACAGTTTAGACCCATTTTATGACAAAAGTCAGTTTGACACAGACAGACCAGATAACTTTCAACTTCAGCAGAGGGAGATCACCAAGACACCAACAGGAAGCACTTACGAGAGGGAAGTCTGTAACGTAGGCTCTGCAAACTGCGACTTCAGGGGGCTTCTTCACTATGCGCGTGTAGATTATAATGACGTTGGAAAACTCGGCTGCAAATCCCAACTGAATCTGAACACCACATTTGAATTCAAGATACATACTTTCGGGCAGCTCTACGAAGAAGTAACATATCATTACATTCTAAACAAAACTTAGCCTATTTTTTAAATTTCCTTTTCAGATTCAAAAGTTAAAAACGTGATAGACTTCTTCCTTCTGCCCTGCCCCTAGGAATCAACTTCCAGGTTTGCAGTGAGGCAAACTAGGCTGGCAGCTAACAGAGAGAGCTGACACAATCGCTGCTGAGCCCATTTCCTTACAGTCTCTGTGCAACTGGTGGACAACACCTGCCGTCCCCGGGATACGGCTTACTGACCCCAGGAGCTGCTCGCCTACCTGGGATTGAGCAGCAAGGTTACAGGGTCTATATCTAACTGACACAAAACATAGCTATAGCATCATAAAAACCTTTCGACTTGACGGCAGAATGAGTTTCAGGTTCATTTTTTTCCTTTCACAGCCCATACACACATTCACAAAGCACAGCCTGCGCGTTATTTCTTCTTATGTTTGTTTTTTCCCTCAATCCATAGGAATAGATCTGAAAGTGCTCAAGGCCAACGACATCATCCTCTGTCTGTATGCTTTGTACTGATTTTTCCACTCCTGCCTGCATAATGACTCATCTTACAAATTCCACCCCTTGACCCTCAGCCTAATCTGTCAAAGAAATTTTAAAATGCACTCCAATGTGTTTATGTATAAAAATAAAATCATCTTAAACTCCACTGCCTAGAATGAGAATAGTGATGTCTTCGAAGTGTCCCTGCGAGACACAGACCCCTGGGATAGTATCGCAAGAGGCAGACATCAGAGAAGTCTCCCCTACAGTTCTGAATAGTCTCAAATACGCTTACTCAGGAGGAGCTTTACACGTCCCCTTGCTCTTTACGATATCGTGCAGAGGTAAACCTCAACCCAAAAGTTTCCAAGATCTGAACGTATTAACTAAAATTCAGATATGAGCTTGTATTTCGTCCATTTCTGTTCAATACCACAACCCCCGGACCAGAGATTACTACGGAATGTACTTCCTCTTGTTTTTCCCATAGTGCCAGTAGGATTACCTAAGAGCAGAGTGTATCGTACCGTGCGCTTTGGCCCACTGCAGGTTCCGTGCCAGACACTCTGCGGAAGACACGGTTTGCTGAATGGGATCAGTTAATGCCCTTTTCTCAGACAAACTGCTGCGGATCTCCAAAGCCTGCTTGCCTTTGGTAAGGTGACACTTGCCCATATCTAAAAATAAGATGCATGTAGTTTCTTTCAAAATCAATGCTCCTGAAAACCTAACTAAATTAAGTACGCCCCTGCAGTGCTGTGTGCTTGCTGTGGTTACACCAGTGTCAGCACACACATGAAAACTTGGTTTAGAAGTATTCACTGCTCAGCTGCTCATTCGCTTAAGGCTAAAACAACAGACCAGGTGCCTGCTGAGAATCTCGAGGATTTCGTATGTGCACTTATACCCTTCAGGAGAGAGGAAATGAGTATCATCACTACAGCAGTCTTTGAGGTAGGCGGGACTCAGTCATTTCCACGTTCATTTAAAAAACTGACTGGACTACCATTAGTAGCTGACACCACAAGATAGAAAAGTAATTTTTGTGGACCGATAGTTCACTTGGAACAAATACAGTTCACTAAGCAGGGAAGTATAAAACTGATTGCTATTGAAGAATTTCAAATTTACAACATCCTGATCTTTGCTAACATGCTGCCCAGCAGCACCTGCTTCACGATAACAGCCATTATTTTAACAAAATGCACTAAGAGCTTAAAAGCAGCATAACGTTTCCTGTGCGAAGAATGACATTTAAACAAAGAAGAAGTTTCTAGTAATGGAGGCTGAGAAGACTGAGTGCAGTGAGCTGGAGTTCACCTTCTGCAACCTCATCAAGCAGTACAGTAATCTTCTTGTCTTCTAACAAACGGTCCTTCAAGAACTTCACAAAGATTCCATTGGCCAACCCCAACTGCTGAATTTCAAAAGCTTCTGCTCCTTGGCACCTGTGAGATCACCAGTACCAGACAGGAAAAAAACCCACTGAAATGTCTGCATGATTAAGATCAACACGAGGACAACAGGAGCAAAAGTTATGACGGGAATGGGGGAAAGACATCCTGCAATTTGAAAATCAGGTTGTGTCTAAGGCCACTGTGCTCTTCAGGTTCGTTTACAAGCAGCTCTTCAGGTTCATTTACAAGCAGCTCAGCACGGGAAGGTTTCTCTTACAATCAAGCCACAGATCAGAGCTGGTGTCAAACTCTTCCTATGCTTCAATTCCTCACAGGCTTCATTAAAGCTCTGGATTACTTCTATTCAACAGCATTTGCACATGACTTGAAAACCAAGAGAGTGAGGTTATTTATTAAGTAACCTCTTCAAGTTTCAGTTGCAGCTGTAACTTTGGTCTTTACAACTAGGATAAGAAGCACGGGGGACAATCCATATGCTACTCCTCCAATAATTCATTCATCTCTCTAACACATTTTTTCTAGAATTTTAACTTGCATTAACAGAGGAGACAGATGTTTGAAGAGAGTACAGCACACAGGTTAGAGTTCATCAGGTGCTCCCCTGTCCCTGGCCTCCCGTAGGCGCTCACCGAGCGGCGAGTTCCACCAGGAACGTGCAGGACCTGTTACGGGTCTGAGAGTCAAAGCTGCTTTTTATTCTCTCATTTTTTTCATCTCTAGAGTGATAGATGAATGGAGCAATCCTACAAGCAACTGTTAGACCAAGATCAGCTCCTGGTTTTCTGTGAACACAGCTCTGCCGGTGCTGTGACCCTGTAGCCAAGCGGGAACACGAAATACATGGTGCCAAGGCATTTCCATGGTCAGCTAGACTGTGGAAGGATTTAAAGAATGACACAGAGAAGATAATACTGGGACACAGATAGGGGTATAAATTACTGGTCCTTTAACACCACAGAAAGTATTTTTCTGCAAAAGATGAGTTATACAATCTCACTTCTGGCTTCAAAACCTCTGTGGCACAGCAGGAGAAAAATTTCCTTACGTTGCGTATCCAAAAACAATGTTTGCCGTAACCTTCAGAGCATCTAAGATAAGAATTGTGTCATCATATTCATTTCTGCAATAAATGGAAACACAAGAAGTAGAATAATAAGTTGAAAACTAATAATGGTAACAAACTCTTCGGTTGTTCAAAATACCAAAACGGTATAGTGTTCAGAAAAAAAAGCTTTTTTTTCTCTCCTACAATTCTGAAATCAATCCCGACTGCTAGAAGACAAAGATCAGCATGATCAACTTTTCATGAAGACAATGCAAAAACACGGTGAGACACCATGCATTACCCAGATGAGGGCATGCTATATTCACCAACCTCTTTCAAAATGATTTCCGGCAACTAGACATTTTAGTTTACAACAGAAACTACATGATTTTTAAATTATTTTTCCCCCAATACACGGTGTCTCCATAGTTACTGTGATGCTTATGTATCTGTATTTTATATTTAGATGGCAGATTGTGAAGCTGAATTAGGCCACTGGCATTTCATTAGCAATGAAGTTCAGAGGCTCTACAAACACAAAAGCACCAGCAATTTTCTACTACGAAATATGCCTTAGAGACCAATTTTCAGAAGTGCTGACTGAAAAGCTGATTTCAAGTGCAAGTTTATAGCACTTTGTTTAGAAAAATTCAATAAACCAGAGGAGCTCCAGAGGTTCCTTCCAACCTGAGCCAGTCTGTAAACCAGTTTCTTTTAAAATCTAAATAAAGATACAACATCCCTGGCATAAAAGCAGTCCAAAAAATCCATTCCTCTGAAGACTTCTAAATTAAGCACTTCACTTGAGCCCTTCTGTCAAATTAACATGCCTTTGATCACATGGATTCTCCTTCCTCCCTGTCATAATGAAGATGGTTAATGATGCAAGGGTAAGAGTAATTTTTCTTCTTTAAGATGCCTAATTTCACTTTTATGTAATAAGACTGACACTTTGTAGCTTTCAAACAATGAAAGAAACAGAAGTCACTCAAATCAAGAGGCAAGTATGTATCCGTGGAAACAGAGTCCAATCTCTGGCTTCACAGGTCCATGTGAGGCCAAAGGTAAACTAAGGCTCTGAACAAACCCTCCTGCCCTTAGAAGCACTCGGGTGCAGGCTCTGAAATCTCAGAACCAAGAACTCCCAAGCGCAGTAAATGCTCAGCCTAGACTAGGGTTTTCTCCTCAGGGTGAAATCCAGCTTTCTCTCAAGACTCTTCACTGTTCTCCCAAGGGGGCTGTTCAGTTTTACTTGTTCATTTTAAAAACACACTCAGTTTTAACCTGTTGCTGCAGCAAGCAAAATGGATTTCACTGTGGGTTCCCAAAACGACAGTCATTAAACCCTCACCCTCTGTCCCAGAGCAAACACATCCCTCCAACACCCGCTGTGAGCTCTCCCTACACACAAGTCGCGGCACTGTACCTTTTCCGACACATATCCAGTAAGAACACGTTAAGTCCCGTCTCTTTTTGCTGCATGAGTTTGAGGATGTTCTGCACACACAGGCAGTTTGCGGATCGGTAGGGGCTTGGAGCATCAATAGGAACCATGAAACTGTTTCCATAGTTTTCATAGCCATGGCCCGCATAGTATAACAAACCTGAGGAGTCAAAATAGATGTGACTGAAAAAACAGTTCCAGCAGGAGCACACTGAACACTAATTTCAGCATGGTCAGAAACTTCACACACTGCCATAAAATGGAGTGACCAGAAGTTTGTATGATTAAATAGTATCCTACTGTCTGTGACAAGTTCCATCTTCTAAAAATGATTTTTTTTTTTAGGTCTATATAAAGCAGTCTATGGGTCAGATCTTGGTGCTGCAGCTGAACAGAAGTCACCAGAGAGATAACAATTGATGCTGACTGCAGGTATGGTCTTCTTATGTCATCATTCTTACTAAAAATAGCCGTGACATTTATGTCACTACAAAACTTGAACATTCAGAAAAACCAAAAAAGCCTTACTCTAACACACCAAAACGACCCAGGCTGAAATCTGCCTGTGTAGGCAGGTACGCTGAACGTTTTTACCTCTTCATTACAGATAGTTGCAGCGAATGCAAATACTTCTCTCTCACAGCCCTGCATTTTTTGTGAAGAAATACCAATATAAAACTATAGCCCTGCAAACGAAGCCTTTGGTTCTCTACTCCCTGGGACCTCTCAAGTCACTAAGAGCCATTCCAGGCTCCTAAAAATTGCAGTGTTCAATCAACGCTGCTCACTCACTTTTTATGGGAAATGCCCCGGCAAGATGAGCAGCCAGTAAGGGCACACAAGGAGAACCCCAGGATGCAGGGTTTCACCTGAACTAAGGTGAAAGCCCCACAGCTGCTCACCTGCCCCTCTTGGAAAAGGGCAACAGACCAATTCAAGTAAAAGTAAGATCTTTAAAGAGCACAGAATTTAAAGTGTATGATTAAAAATCTAAAGATATAAAGGTACTACTGGGCTATTTATGAGATTTCAGTGGCTCCCTGAGACCAAGTAGTTTCAAGAGAGTTAAAAATTAAGTTAAACAGCAAATGCCTGAATCCACATCACAGTTTAAAGCTACAAGGAAACTCTTAAATTTGACTTCCACAGAGTTTGGATCCGGACCTAAATCAAGGTTATGTTTGAGATTCTATACCCACATATATACACACACCCCTCCCCATATATCCATATATATATATATATATATATATGAGTGTATGTTAGATAATAATTAGACTGATTGAAGGAAACAAATTTCTTTCATGTAAAATATGATTGATCAGAGTCCTCAGTTAATAGAAATACCTCAGAAGTAACGGCTACATTTCTTTTATATCCTTGGCAGATGACTGTGCTATGCTTGTCTGATGACTGTTGAGCTCAAGATCAGAAATAAATCTCTGCATACCCAGAGTAAGCAGGGCCAACATATTTGGAGGGCCTCGTTAGACACTTTGACACAACAATTTTAAGTGGGCTCAAGTTCCTCACAGACGTCAGCATTTAAGTGATATCTTTTTTTTTTTTAAAAAAAAAAATACTAAAAAAAACCCCACAAACCCAGCCCAACTATTTTAGCCTGTAAAACATACGAGACTATGCTTTTAACCTTTGTGAGACACAATGTTAGTTGCACCCTACATTTAGAACAACATAAACTAAGACGTTAGAGGAGCTAATCACCATCACTTTGTTTACTACTCCTGCTCTTAAGGAACAGCATCTGAAATGCCACTTTCCTGGCAGGGAGCAGGAACTACCCAGTGCCATATTAGGCATCATTAATAAGTGTAAGAGGGCCACTGTGCCTCTTCTATTTGGAGCTATGCTCAGCAAAAATACAATAAATCATTATCTGTTTGGGCACAGAGAGGGTCTTTTATATGCTTGAAACCATTAATAGTTGTCAACAGTCACTATCAAAAAAGAGTAAAGTGACTTTAAATTGAGGCAGTTACTGCCAAACACTACTGAAAGAATGCTCTGCTTCCCTCTCAGAAATATCAGCTTGCTGTTAAAATACAACTGCAGAAATATGCCTTTTAAGAGCTTTCATATGGTGCCAGTGAGAAACTCATTAAAGTATTTCAATACTTTATTTTCTAAATTCATGTCGATTATAGAAAAAAAAAAAAAGGAGAAAGTGCAAGAATCTAAAAGGTCACTCAAGCGTATAAGCACACCTATGTCCCAGGGAACAAAACCAAGAGAACTGCTATCAGAAACTCTACTGAACTTTGCTGCCATAACAGTCTTAGAATCATAGATGGGTTTGGGTTTGAAGGGACCTTAAAGATCACCCAGTGCCACCTCCTGAATGTTACGCAAGTTTTGGCTCTGACATAAATGTCCAATGTCAGATCAGCCAGTTCTGCACAGACAGAGCATCAAGTAACATACTGATAAAAAAGTCGTACTAACAAATAATCTGACCTTGCGTTCCAAAAAAGGATAAATAATGTTTTCTCAGGTAGGTGTTACTATAGGAATTCTGGAAAACTGGCAGAACCTTTTGGTCTCTGTTCTAACTGATTTCTGGAGTTGTTTACACAATCTTGCCCAAAATCAAGTTTATACAAGACAAGGAATCTCAAATTGTGGATTTTTGTGGCACGTTACTTTTAAGTTTGAAGAGTTTAAGGGAAAAAAAAAAAAAGGCTGCTGCCCACTTAAGCAGCATAACCACAATTAAGCTGTGCTAAGGACATTAGGCCCTGTTAAGGGCATTATGACAAACTCTGTGCTTGCCAGGCCAGTATCGCAATAACCAAAACAAACCAGCAATTCAAAAAACAGATCTCTACTTAACCTGACAACTTGGCAGAAGAGGGCAAGAAGTACTGCATCTGATGTGCTGTGTTATGCCATAACTCCAAAGCACAATGTCTTTCTCTTTTTTCTGTACTGTGTATTTTCATTTGTTTTTTGTTTTACCTTCAGGAGAGATATGCTTTGCTCCTATGCCCCACTCTCCCTTCAGCACACCTGGAAGGAGAGTACAGCTCCCTGCCACGACAAAGCAAAGCCCCCTCTTCCTCTGTTCTGCATGGAGCGGCCAAGTGAGGAGGAAGAGCAGAGCAGCCCCTCCCAGAGCAGAGCACCAGAAGGACAGAAATCCAGAAGGAAAGAGCATTCTGCTGGCATCCAGGAGAGAGACGGAGTGAACGGGAGGGTCCCACCAGCAAGCCCACAACACGTTCCACGCTGTGCTTCGGGCTGTTCCCCACCTCCCCAACAGAAACGCAAGGCAGCAGCCTGCCTGGCCAGCCCCAACCAGATCATCAACCTGCAGGCACAGGGAACAGAGGAAGAGAGAGAAGTTCATGAAGGAGGTATTGCGAGATCTCCCGAGGGCAGCAGGGGCTGCAGCCCAAAGCTACACACAGCCTTGTACGCTGCCGCTACACAGCTACACAGCTGCAACTACTCTTGCTACTAGCTCGCTGCCATAACACAGCAATGCGGGTGACACAACAGACTACTGCTCCTGCTTAAGAGACTCTACAAACTAACGACTCCTGAGTACAAACGTGCATCCTTCCGCAGAGCATGTTGTCAAATATGCTGTACAGATGCAGCAGCTTTTAGCAGACAAACAAGCCAATACTATCAAACAAAAAGGTGCACCACAGTTGTATGCGTGGTTAAAGAAAAAATTCAAATGTTTTACCCAAAAATAAAAAAAAAACCACTAACATTTTAACCAGAGCTGAAGGATATGCTGTGGGTGTTTTAAATTTGCTTTCCTCAATCTCCTTATATGTTATTTAGCAAGAAGTTTGTTTTGCTATCACATACAGCGAGCTGGCAGAGGTAAGTACCGTGTGTCTGTGCACTCAATATATCACAAAACCAGCCTACTTCAGAAGCGGTATCACATGTTCTTACCATAGACTCCTTTGTCCAGGAGAAGTAAAAACTCATCTACTGCATTTCGCATCTCAGACTCGGTAAGGTCGAGCAAAGAAACAACTTTGAAATCCAGCTGTCTGAGCAAATTTGTCAATTCATAGACATCTACCATCGGTGCCTTGAGCTGGGGGTGATTCCAGTAGCTCATATTTCCTATCAGCAGAGCTACCTTGTCTGTTGCTGCAAAGACAAAAGAAAAACAAAACCACATCATGTTTATGTACTCCATGCGGTCAGAATCTTTAAGTTTAGTCTCTTCCAAAGTGAAAATATAACTCAATCTCACCTCAGGCACAATACAAGATTTTAAAAGTCCACAACACAGCTCAATTCTCATCCAAAAAAACCTTTTCAGCATGGTCTGACAGCTGACATACATCTCAGGCTGGATCACCTGTGACTAAGGCTGTCTCCCATTTCTTTCATTTTCTCAAAGCAGAGACAATTGCTGAATTCCCCCATGCAAGAAGAAATCTAACAAGCATGAAAATTCTTATGGCAAGTTGCCAAAGCTATGGCCAGTGTACTTACCACAAAGCCTCCAATTTTCTAATGCTTCTTAAAAAGCAAACAAAAAAAACCCCAAAAGTCCACTTTCACATTTCCACCTCCCATGTTCTGTGTCTCTCTAAAACATAGTACATGTAGGTGGAAACATTCAGAGGTCAGAAGTAAAACGTCTTTTTTTCTGTTTGTTAAGGTTTCTTTTTACTGCTGCTCTGGTCAAACAGAATGAAATACGAGAAACTTACAAAATTCAGAGGCAAGTCTACTGATACTTTTAGTTTGAGAAATGATCACTTTGGTTCAATAAAGTCTGAAGTAATTCTGTCATAAGTAAACTAAACAGATATAAAAGAGAAAAAAAGGCACATTCACAGGAACGCTTTAGAGACCACTAGCCTGATTTTCATCCCAAAATTGCACACTAAGTTACAGAAAAGCCATTTTTCGAAGGAAGGTGTTTCCTTCTGGGTTTGCTGCTTCTTTCCTCCAGTAGAAACTATTGTCCCGCAGCTCTGGCGGCAAATGAGATCACGTCAACGTCCCAAACCTGCTGCAGCATCAGTAATCCCCCATACCTAGATGAGAAGAGAATCCCTCTCTGTAGCCTCAGTGTCTAACATTTCATCTCCTTCAAACAAGCAGTTTTCAACATTTTTGCAGCTGGAAAAGCTACAAGGTCGTGAACAGCGTAAACTATCTTAAACAGCTTAGACTGAGTGGCAAACTGTCACTGAAAACCACTTTTAAAGGTACAAGTTTTCTAATTAACTTAGCAAAGATGAACCACAACCGTGGAGCTCTCACACACCCTCTCACACTGATGAACTCGAGAGTGGCAAAACTGTGACGGAGGCCAGCAGCCTTTCCAGCTGGTATGGCATCGAGAAGACAACATGTCTGAGCTCAGTCAAGTCTACCACACAAATTGAAATTAAAACTCCCAGCAACTATTCTTCGCAACACACGTGCTATCCATCTATCTGTATGAGCTCCAGCTCAGGATGAAGCATCCCCATGCAGTGCACGAGGAACAGCAGACAGACCACCAATCCTTTTACTCACATCACCCTGATACCACCACCTCCAGCTTTCCAAGTATTCAGAGCAAGGGAGGAGCACACTGGCTAAGGCTGTAGCCAGAGGAATTTGAAAGAGTAAACTGAAACAGATGAGGAATCCTACATGCTCCACCGAGTCACTAAAAATACTGGTGCCCTCACCACAGTTTACTACTGAAAGGGCATGTAAGCATTATAAAGGACTATAAAAATACGCAGCAGTGTCCCTCCCTGCAGATAATTGCATGCACTATGGTTATTTTGCCAGCAGTGGAAGAAGCAGCAAAATCTATTTGCTAGATATGAAATACATACGTTCAATTACAGCTACGAGACTACTTACCAACAAGCCTGTGATTTGATTGCCTTTGCAGGTCTGCTTGAAACAGATTAAAAGAGCAGATCGTCAGTAACCACAGTCATAGACACCAATGTCAGAAAAATAACCACATGTTCTCTACAGCCATAGTCTGCCAATATTCCCAGAGTTTGATATATGTTCACTTGATTTAAAAGTCCAAAGTAATTCTGTCATAATTAAACTTTATCTAATATGTTACTCCTTGCAGGCCCAAAAATAGTGTTGTTGTTTTTTTTTGTTTTGGTGGGGTTTTGGGGTGGTGCTGTTTATCTGATTTCTTTCACCCTCTTCCAGCAAACACAGCCTAATAGGTAGCTTAACAAATTAAGGAAGACTAAACGCTTACAGTATAATTTTAAATCCTACAAAGTGCACACCAGCATTTTCAGTCATGTCCAGAACAGCGCGTCCTCTCCAAATGAAACACAGACACGCGAGACAGGGCTGACCCTCCGTGCGTGCAAAGTCCTTTCTGCGGGATCCCGTACAGGGATGGCGGAGCCAGCACTGTGCCAAGGCGACCAGGTAAGCGATCCAGCCACGGGGCAAGCTCTTCAGTAACACGTTACACGTCCTGACAGCACCACTGCAGGGACTAAAGCTAACACTTGGCAAAAATAAGCATATCTTTGATGTCTAACCCAGGAAATGGTACAAACTTTGTGATCTGAGATTTTGGGACCACAGTATCGGGGACAATGCCTTATGGGGCAATACTCCAGATCAACATTTCTGTAACAAACTTCAAACAGGCTTCAAATGGCATCGGCTCACTCTCATGTGAATTTAAGAATTACAGCAACTCAGCACATCTCGGGTGACAGCCAGACAGCTACATCTTTTCACCTTATCTGAATAGGCAACACACTAAAACTTAGGAGTTCAAAGAAGCCACAGACAAGCAAGCAAAAGATAATTCCTTCTGTATTTGCAGTATAAAAGAGTAGCTTTGTGTGATCTTACAGAGGTGATAGCAACCCTACTATTCACTATATTCTTCAAGTTAATTTATCGGAACTAGAAAACTGTGTTGCTCTTAACACGATATCTGCCCCTATCAAATCCTCACTTATCCAAATAAAGTGTATATTGTAATACAACTAGGCTTCAGCGATTTGTAACATAAAACGAGGATGTGAAATTGAAGGTTTTCAAAATGTATCACCTACCTGGTTCGTGAAGATGACTTAGTTCCTCTGTGAAGTAGAGGAATAAAATCACAGTTTAAACAAGAAAGAAAATAAATAAATTTTTTATTAATAAAAATGTAACTGTCATGTCATAATAGAAACTGAATATTAGAACACAAACTACCTTTCTAATATGCCTTTGGCTTTGCATTTCTGTAAGTCTAACCCTCTGCATGCTTATGCTACATGCAGAGAGGAGAGAATTAAGCTATGCTAGACAGAGCATCATAATATAGATCTCAAATCCACATGCTGTGCCTCAATCCCACCAGCATGCAAGCAGTCTGAATGCATAAGGAACGAGACATCAGAATCACCCATCTGAAAAAACAGATGTTTGAAGGGCTGCTGAAAAAGCAACATCCTGAGCAAGAGATCTTACTTTGTAAAGCCACGCGTATTCAGAAAGACTTCAGATACAACTTTCAAACACTCTAAGCTACCACAGGTTTCACCTACTTGTTCTGAGAACACTGGAAACCACGGAAAAGAAAAATAATTTATCTGAAGCAGCCAGGATCTCTCAGAGCCGGCCTGCTCCCTGCAGGGGAGCCTGAGGCCAGCTTCTTCAGACTCAAGAGCCAGCTCATGTATCCAGGCGGGAGACTCCAGCGACCTGAGGCGATGCTAACGTAGCACACCAGCAGCATGGTGCTGCGTCCAGGAAACTGCACTTTGGCTGTAGCCCCCCAGGCAACATAGAGGTCACCTGCTGCTCACAGGGCACTTGCGTCACAGGTGAGCAGGAGGCTGCTGCACTGCTGACAGCCCCTGCCACGAAAGATGGGAAGGCCCAAAGAGGGGATCGGTCTTGGAAGCTACACCACAAACCTCTGTCACTTGTACGTGAATTGCACTTGCATGCAATGCAAATGAGAACAGAAATTGTCCTAAAAAGGCTGCTGGAAACACCTCTGGCAGACACAGAGTTGTCAGTGGAACTAGCTCTGTCCAGCTCTCTAAGGTCACCTAAACATCTTCAGCTTTTCTTGCCAGGATGTTGCTTCCAGAACTCAGCCAAAGAAATCTCAAGATCTTCATATTTCACCAGAAACCATAAGCACAGGACACAAAAACAGCAAAAAAAAGGGAGAAAATCAATCAGCTTTGAATACTACAGAGAAGAAAGTAGCTTGCTTTTTCTCCCATGTGCTCTAAATCATGTTATCAAGGCCCAGAAGAAAGAAGCACATGCAGGAGGAACATTGCACCACCCATCAGTGTTTTAAAATAGAATGAAGCTCTTAATCCACACGTGCTTTTCAGCAATACACTTAACAATCCATCACTGGCCATGACAGGGAGGTTAGATTAAATGATCTCTAAGGTCCCTTCCAGCCTAGGCCATTCTATGATCACCCCAGTCATTAATTTCTAAGAATTGATTCACAACTAAAGATTTACTTTACCTTCAGTGCACTCCACTGCCACAGCTTTCCTTCCTTGTGTTTTAATGAGGGAAAAAAAATTGGAAGACAATTGCTCTCGGTTATGAGAGTTAGCACACAAGTGGAAGACAAAGGGCACTTCCAAGCTCCTCCGTAATCTAGCTCATTTTATAGCAGCATAAATCAGCCCTGACCACAACACTGTACAGTAATTATCGCCAGAACTCTGGAGCACTAAACCAGAATATTTCTTAGGATAGGAAAGACCTTTTCATATGAACTATGCAATAGTATTCCCAGACAGATCTTTTTCTCTTTAGTTTACTGCAAATACATGCACACACACTGAACTCTGCTATATTAACTTACTCTGCTTGCCATGAATACTCTCGCACATCCTGATTGCTAGAGGACTCAGTGTAACAGTCCTTATCAGCAACAAGGGTTAAATTGTTTTTAATTGTCAAAACACATAAAGAAATCAGCTTGCAATCTGCTGACAAGCTATGTACATGCTAGCAACGCCAAAAAAGTGGTAGCATTTCTATGCTGGTTACTATAAAAACCTCAAAGCACTTTATAACTGATAAAGCCCTAGAATTCCATTTGTTGCAAGCAGTTACTTTAACAAAAGGATAAACTAAAAACACAGGAGGCACATGCTTAACACTGAAAGCTTCAAAAATAAATTCTAACAACGCAGAAGAAACTGATAAATCAGCTGATCTTATATCAAGCACAAACTCCTTACCTATAACAACTTCTATCTTCCAGCTGTCTTGATCTTCCCTGTCATTGAATACGTGACACCAGTACGTCCCTTGATGATCCACATCCACGCAAGTTACCTGTGCAAGCATTGTCACAGTCATCCTCCCAGACTGCAGAAGAATACCCACATCGGCTTCACTCGAACCCACAAGAAAGAGTAAAAACCAGAAGCAAGCCTAAACGAACCCAAACGCTGCTGACAACCTTACTCTTCAGTAAGCTGTGTTCTAGAAATGTTCTCAAGAACTGAAGAAAGACTGCAAATCCACCTCACAGGTTTGAGATGCATTAAGCACTGAGCAAGAGCTGGTACAACTCAAGTGCTTTTCAGGGCAAGACAGAAAAAGCAGCTCACTTTTGCTGACACTTAACCTTTGCTTTGTCAGTGTACCACACCAATCCAAAACACGTCCCACGACTACCACCTGAAACACCTTCAGAACTGAAGCTGCACACCCTAAAGCCTCAGAACAGCACGGGCAAGTAACAGAACAGAACAACTTAAAGCGAGTGCTTCTGTAAGAGATTATCAAAGTCACAAAGTTCTTTTCTTCAAGGAAGCTTTATGTGATAAGGTACAGGTGGTTACACACTCGCTCTCCAAAGCTGATACTTGGCAGTAACTTACCGTGTAGACATTTTTTGTCCCATTTGCCAATGGAAATCCATTTCTGAACCACTGGTAACGAGGAATTGGGCTTCCAATAGCTCCACATTCCAGCACCAAAGTGTCCCCCACTACCAGGTTTTGTGGCTGAGGCTGAATACAAATGTGCAACTTGTTTTCAGGCAAACCAACTAAGCTCCCTTAGGAAAAAAAAACAACAAAAGGGGGCGATAAGAAAAAAAAAGAAAGGGTGAGACAATCTGCATACAGATTAACATGAACAGATGATATATGGACACATCTTCCTGTAACTAGAACAGACTGTATTAACAGTAATGAAATTAAGTTCAGGAGGCTGAGGGGTGATCTCATAAATGTTAATAAATACGTCAAAGGGGAGTGTCAAGGAGGACGGAGCCAGGCTCTTTTCAGCAACGTCCAATGACAGGACAAGGGGCAATGGGTACAAGATGGAACACAGGAGGTTCCACAAAAACACTAGGAAAAACTTTTTCACTGTGAGGGTGACAGAGCACTGGAACAAGGTGCCCAGAGAGGTTGTGGAGTCTCCTTCTCTGGAGACATTCAAAACCCGCCTGGACGTGTTCCTGTGCGATCCACTGTAGGTGATCTTGCTCTGGCAGGGGGGCTGGACTAGATGATCTTTTGAGGTCCCTTCCAACCCCTAACATTTTGTGATTCTGTGAAGTTACTTGTCCAGTAAGAGCATGATAAAAATGAGTAGCAATGGCATTAAATATGCCCCATAAGCAAAAAAAATAAAAAGCCCTCTTTGCATTATTTATTCCTGCCTGTAGGATTATAAAGGCACCAGAGAAAGAAGCAAGTACAAAGGAGAGCGGTTACCAAAGGATGGACTAAGGATCCAGCTTGTGTGCAAGTGTGTACACAGGAATAAGAATTTAAAACTTGGAATCTGTTAGTTTTAGCATATCCCTTTCCTTCTCTTTCTAAACTGAGCATCAAATCTTAATGTAAATAGACTAAAAAGGTCCAAATCTGAAAACGCTTAACAAACGTCACCCACTGGTATTTCCCCATATAGCCATGTCTCTGGGAAAGAAATCTATGCAGAAAACCCTAAATGCATCAAAGACTTGTCCAGCTGATGTAATGTAAGTTTCTATGTGTGATAAAATGTATTGAAACAAAGTGTGGAAATTAGTTTTTAAACCATCCACTACACACACACACACACAAGTACTCCACTGAAGAAGTTGCTGCCCTGTGTGCACTGAGGAGCCAGACGAGCTGACACAGACCGCAGCTCACCCAGACCTACTCGTGCAGTCACACCAGTGGTTGTGCACCTCAGCTGTGAGGTCACTCCTTTCACTTTTAGTCTGTTCCTGCGGACACACGTTTTGTCACCAGAGCTGACAATCAGAGGGTGATGACACTTTCCTTTGCACAGTAGCACCAAGGGACAGTGGGACAGATCTCTCTGCTTTACTCGTCTCTGAGCTCCTTGGCGCATTACAAACTTGGATTGCAGAGACTTTACAAGCTGATGTTTCACGTGTATGATCCACATTGACCAGTGTTTTTGAAAGAAAGCTGTATTTTGTAGTGAAGACTTGATAACTGGTAAAGAGACTGACGTGGGTTTTGGGATGGTATTTCAAATACAGGGGCCCTGGCTTACCATAATGGTGCTGGTTTGGTTTTGGGTTTTTTTAACTGCAGAGTTTTCTGTAACTTTTATCATAGAAAACACTTCTACATGTCAAAATAAACTTTATTCCCTTTCACTCAGCTGTTTACAGAACCTTCTCTTCCTCCCTTGCAGCGTCCTAGTTTCTTTCAACAAAATGTAAGGAATTCATTTCCTTTTAAGGCAGAAAGGCAGAACTAAGATGGCAAGTACAGCAGAGAAGCTCATTAGATTCTCCTTTACGCAGATACCTCTGTTCTCAGACTGGCAGCACATACATGGAGGGGAAACAAACAGCCCTGCCTACTAGGCCAGACATGGGGCAGACATTCAGAACAGACCTTGTGCCCAGTCGCCACATGAGTTTTAATTGCTCTTCTGGTCCAAGAATCCTCTAAGAACTAAAGGGCTCTGACACTGTGTATGTTTTCCATCTATCTATTATCATCCGTCACTACTGAACTTCATTTCTCTTCTGCTTTTGTGACCAGCACAAGGGCCCAACAACTGGATACCATGTTCTTAGTCAGCCCCCTTTCACTTCTGTGCAAGCCAGCACCAGGCGCCCAGGGGGACGCAGGCTCCTCCAACAGAGGACAGACAGAGAGACAGACTTTCAGAAGACGATGGTTTTGCCACTCACCGTGAGATGTTCTCTGGAGCTCACAAACGTCAAGTCGTGCCCACCGACTGAACACAAAGGAAGATTCACTGTTCACTCGACAGATGTAAAAGCCAGCATCGCCGACATTCACTGGATTCAGAATCAGCTCTGGAGAATTACCATGCGGAACCTGAATTACAGGTGAACCAAGAAATATGGAAATTTAGACTGATCTATTCTAACCCATGATAAAATACTATAATACTTATTTCAATGTCCATAACACCAGCATCGACCCCTTAATCTACTTGAAACTTTTGGATGAGAAGACAATTTTAGACAATTCTAAGCTTTTAAGCCAGTTGAAAAGCTCTTCCTGAAATTCACAGTTTTTACTTAGCTTCACAGATAACTCAGAATAATTTCTGAAGAACTACTCCAACTAGCGTGTGTGTTAAATTCAGTTCTAGTCTTACGATATATTCAACTGCGACTAGGAAACTGTAACAGTCTTTCACAGAAAAATAATTTTTACTACATCTATTTTTACTGTAATGAGCAGGAAATAACTGTAATCATATTTTTAAGCCATGTTTTGGATGACTCTGATAAGCTTTTAGAAAAGTATAGGAAATTAGCTAAAAATGTCAATTACTGGAGAAGTCTGTGGCACCATCAAGCTCAGGCCTTCAACTGCTCCTTGCTAAGAAACCAGTTTCCATCTGTCCAACAGGAGCAGCAGCTGGCATTTGTGTCAGCGCAGCAGGTTCTCAGTGGCCTCTGTTAAACTTCTTGGTAGGCTGAGAAACAACTAAGCTTACAGTTTCCTTACTGTCACCTCTCAAGATTAGCCTCTAAGGATGAAGTCTGAATATAAGGAACCACTTTATTGTTTTAGCACATTGACAGGGTTATTGTGCAGCCTTCCTTAAACTTCTATTTTTATTAGTATGGATAGCAATCTTCTTTCATTGTAAATAAGAGTCTTAAAAAAAAAAAATCATTCAAAATAATTATGTATTATTTTCACCATTAAAAAAAATATTTATTTTTTTTTAAAAAATATCTCTATTCTGCATCAACTATTACCTCTTTTTCCTGCTTGAACCACTGGTAATGCACAAACGGGTGTCCTGTTGCCCAACAACACAGCCTGACAATCTGACCCGAGAGCACTGCTTGAGAGTCTGGCTGTACAACAATCTTTATACCTTTAAAAAAGGTTTAGAGGAAAGTTATTTTGAAATACAGTTGCACAATTTAAATACACATTCACATTGTCCTTTGTGTAAAGAAAGTTTCTGTCATTAAACATACTTGAAAATAATTTGTTTGTGCTGTTTGGGGCTGGACAAGATGATCTTTTGAGGTCCTTTCCAACCCCTGACATTCTGTGATTCTGTGTACACACACAGTTCCAATCAGTTCCATGACTAAGGACGTTCAAAATTGTATTTCATTACACAAACCCCATGCTCAAGCTGATCAGTAGTCTACAGAGTTCAAAGATTTACCTTAGATCATTCAGACATTTTAGTGTTAGGACATTTCAGACTCCCTTGCTCTCTACTCACTAGAGCAAATACCACTTCCAAGGGTATCACAGATGCCTTCTGAGAAAGGTATTCCCAGTTTCAGGAGTTTGCTCATTCCCAACTATTTCTTTGTGTGGCTAACCTTCAGATTAAGATTAGGCACAGCCTAAGGGATGGATCAAAGCAGTAAGGTCTTAACCACAAGGCAGTGCATTTTTCTACTATTCCTCACATAACCTCATTAGTCGCAACCAACGCTGCCAGTTTTACGCTTCTGTCTCCTGCAGAACTCAATGCCAGGGGTTTCTTTTGCCAATATGCAAGGCAGAATTTTCCACTTCAAATTTTAACTGTCAGGACATAGCATGAACAGAATTCTGACACCAGTCTGATATGATCCAGTTATTTTCTTAACCTAGACTACAGAGATCTTGTTACAGCATGATCCCAAAACCACATCTGCTAGTATAACCAAGGTCATCAGAAACAGAAGAGGTGGGAGATAAAAAAAGTCAGCTGCAGAACAGCAAGTCTAACGTCACACTGCTGTCAAAAAAATACATGGACCTACAAGCAAGAAGTTCAGCAATACTGAGCTGATAAGCCATCAAACAATCATTAGTTTAAAGCATTACTTGCTGCAGGTGGTAAAATGCATTTAACGATGCCAGTGGGACAGATTGTATTGAATAAACCAGAAGCTGTGTAAAAAAAAAAAGATCACAAATATCCCAGCACAAGACTCAGAATTAGCATTTGCTCCAAGCCTTCTCACTACACTGTGCCAGGAGTCCTCTTTTTGGCTGCTTTTTTCCCCCTCCTGTTTAATGGCTGAGCAGCACATCAGAACTTGGCGCTAACAGAGAATGCCCGAGGAAAGAAACCGCCGCGATTTGATCGATGGGCGGAAACCTGAGCAGAAACCCATGTGGTCAACAGACTGAAACAGAGATTATACAGCACTTGGAAATTACATAACCCTTGTCTAGCAGGGAAGCGCGCTACACTAACTTCCTCCACATGTGAGCTTATTCTGAAATCGTTGATTGCACAGGCAGCTACTTCTAAGTAGCTACAGCACCTGAAAATTCCCTGCCTTCCCTTCTCTGAAGTAACTTCCCTCTACACGCCAGCCCTGAAGATCACTATCGCAGCTCCTCACATAGCACTTCTGCTGTTTTTCATAAATGGAGTGAGTTAAGTACAGTTTCTGAACATCACAATCACGTAGCATTAATCAAGACAAACAGGAACTATATTATTTCAATTTAAAGGACAGAAAAATTAAGAAGAATTGCTCTTTACAGAAACTTCCCTTTTTTTTTAAAAAAATAATCTTTAAAATCGCTTCCAATTTGCATAATTAACATCTCATTAAAAATAACTGAGAAAAACAATTTCTCTGAAAGATTAGCATTTTGCACTCCTTGGAACCATTACAAACAAGTTCTAAGAAACCTGATTCATAATTTCTTCACAGTTTCATCTATATTCCTGCAATTCATTCAGCACTATAGAGCTAGTTCCTGCAAGCATCACAGAATGTAATGATTCAAAAAGAAAACCTTCTGGTTCAATTTTCTGAATGATTACAAAGACACCCAAAAACTTTTTAGGCTTTCCTTGAAAAATACAAAACTCAAATTTTACCACTGCAGACAGCAAACTGACAATTATGGTTACCAGACTTTGAAACATGCAGTGCAAATTAAGTACTCATAATCTTAACTACAACCCAATCGTTTACATGCCAGTAAACCTTCTCAGTCATTTCTGGAAATTCAGCCTCAATTACTCAAGTTCAGACTGAAGTGCCTAAACTGCCACAGTAACAGACCTGCCCGTGGAGGAAAAACACCTCTTGGTTCTTGTTTAAATCCCCATGACCTAGCGAGGCTGCACATGGACTAGACTGTAAGAGCACAAATTGTGCATTAAGCTTCATTTTTTTTTTTCTTAGTCTGCGAGAAAGCTCTTCACATTTGTTTCCAGCATGTTCATGATGTGACAAGGTAAAAGAAAAAAAAAAGAGAGAAAAGGGGCAGAAAGGTGACCCAAGGAACAAGATATCTAGGCTTTCTCACTACCAAAAAGGAGTAGTTTTAAAGTTACTATTATTCCTATTTCGTGTCTTTATAGGAAAAAGATTTTCTATGGAGTTAATCCAATGTGATAGGCAAGTCTCTAAGCTTTGGGGGAAAAATGAGTTCTGGAACTTGGTTCTGGGAGTCTGTGATTCTCCGAGAGATCCTTTGCATTGCTGCAAACACCACAATGTCCCAGCTTGCAGCAATACACCTCTGCCATAGAAGTACAAAGCAGTATCACTGCCAAACTAGACCACTAAGCAGCATCAAAGTGTACACTCACCAACCCAGACGTCTGTAGGCTCACAAAGGTTTGTGTCTTTTTAACTGTATTTAGTCTTCACTGCATATTTCAAAATGTAACTCAACCAACAGCCACAAAAAAACACCTCAATTCCACGGTGGCGATACTGGAGGTGATCACAGATGGAGCGAGCAGAACACTTTGGGTCAGCGCAGCACAAAAGAGACCCAGGACCACTCCTGTTCTCAGTGTTCCCCAGTAATCACCACTGGCAGAATGAACAGGAGCGAGCACTAGCTGTGCAGGACAGCATGCCACCCCCTGGGCCTCCACCTCAGCTCCTGCCCCTGCGAGCGCCATCTGCTCGCACTGGTAATGCAAAATTCTCTCCCTGCTGACCCCATGGCAGAACACTTCAGCCAGACTAAGCCACCACGTAACTCAGTCGCCCCTCATTCACCATACCCTGGGCGTCCTCCATTTCATTCAGCCTCAGCCAGACAAAACAGGAGCAAAGCATCACCGTCACTTGCCTGAAATATTTCCAAGTTGTCTTTACAACCATTCTCAGCCTCTCTCATGCTGTCCAAGGAACAAGACAGCTATCAGTGCAGCAAGGAGCTTGCCAGTCTCATTTCCACTCCCTGCTCTGAGAAGCAGTTTGTGCAGCTAACTAGTAGGCTGAATTTCACCACATCTTGAACAAGGAAGACATAAAAAAGGGCCTGTTTTTGGACTATAGCAAGAAGCACTTGGGCTTCACGTTCTCATCCTTCCATTGCCCTACTTTCAGCTTGCTTCTTCACAAACAGTGTAGAATGCGTTAGTAGAAAATGCTCTAGCTCTGTCATAAGATGGTCTGTTTTTCTGTCAATCGGCAAGCTGCACTGCATCCAATAGGCACCAGAACTGGCAATAATTATATCCTTCCCCTCCAGTCAGGGTGAGCTATGAACTGCAGTAACGAAACCCATAGCCGGAATGGATGGCTGGCAACACCGCTGGTCTTCCTAATCCAACTGTTTCAGTTCTGTTCGCATCTCCCAAAGGCGCAGTTTGATTCAGAACCCAAGCCAGCAGCAGGAAGGGCAGCACCTGTCACATCCATGCAGCCAAATCCAAGCCCACAACAATACTGTGTTAAGCCTGCTTATCTACTTGGCTTACTCTTAATCTCAAAATCACACGAGCCAATTTCTCTGGTAATCATCTGAAGACAAATTACTAGATTTCAAACACTTAAAGAGGTTTTTACTTATTGTAGAAAACAAATAGTTCAGTGTTTCCAGTGTAAAATATAGAGTGGCAGTGAAAGCGCAAACCAGAACTGACCAGACTGGCTGAGGCACTGGAGAGCCTCTGTGTGCTCCAGGGCCTGCAGGAACTCCACCAGCTCCACCACAGTGCAACCCCGATCTCCCAGGAGCTGCAGGAGGCTCCAGCTGGGACTTCCTTCTGGCTCCAGCACTTTGAGGGAACACTGCTCCAAATCCAGAGAGCTACAAAATAACATGAGAAAGACATGGCATAGATCTTCTTACTACTTTTTCCTCAGAAAGGAGCAGAGTTAAAAATCACCTGCATACAAGCAAAAAAAATTATTCTTTTTTTTAAAAAAAAAAACAAAATGAGAAATTCCTAGCTTGGACATGCTTGCAGTGTTTCCTTCAAGTTTCAGTTCAGAGGTTATACAGAGGTTATACCTCCACAGACAGAAGGTAGTATTACTGAGTTGAACGCTACAAGAGATATTTGTACCTAAGCAATTCTGACCATGTGTATTAAGAAATCTTCTAATCTTCCCTTTTTAAAGTCTCAGCAGGAACATCTTTCATTTTCATGTGCCTAATTCAGAAGCAGTAAATAGTGAGTCAGAATCTGCCTTGAAAGGGCAGGAGGACTTTGATTTTCAGGGCAGCTGTTAAACAAGTGACTGCTGCAGCTTTACCGATCCACTTGCCTACTGGTACAGTGCAGTTATCTGCTCCAGTAAGTTCAGGTACAAACATCCATAGTTTTAAGTTTTGGTGTTAAGTCTTTATGCACTTTCAGTCACAGCAGGTTAAAATAACACAGATAGTAAGGACGTTAACACAGCTACAGAAAGGGAATGCATTATGTATTCCCACTAAAAAGATTCACCAGTGTTTCCCTCATTACACCACAGTACTATGCAAACCTGAAGACAAGAGATTTTCCCTTATCTCGTAGACAATACAGAGGAACAAACACAGCCATAGGCCCTGCAGAGGGGTCACACTGTAGTCCCCAGGTTCTATTTCCTATATTAACTAATGCAGTCATAACAGAGAAGGGACACATCTTCATAATGTACATTCAGCTACACCTGAAATGCCTCTTTTTTCCTTTCTTCTTGTGATAATGCCCTCTAAACAAAATCTTGAAAAGCCACAGGAAGCCGCACGATCCGGAAGCGATCTAGAGAACGTGAACGAGGCATAAAAAGCTGAAGGAGGCGAATGCGTTTTCCCTAACACGGCCAAGAGGACCTGCAGAACCGCCACCGAGCGCGTCCCGAGCTCCCCGCCCGGGGAAGGCGGCAGAGCCGCGCCCCGGCCCTTCGGGGCTGGACGCATGACCCGGGGCAAAGC